ATTGCTGAAGACCTATTCTGACCCGGATTTTCACGGGTCGGTTGAGACAAAGAGTCGGCCATTTCATGTCATAGGAATGTACAGATACTAAGATGATGAGACTTTAAGTCAAGCTTGGGTGTGTCAACACATTACTTAAACAATAGCGGTTTGAGCACAAGGTGTAATTGTAAACATAGTAGGCCCAATTAAAGCTTTCAAAAGTTTTATGGTAGACAAATGGATGACATTCCTAATTTGACGCATCAGTGACAAGACTGTTTGCCGCAGTCACCTATATGATCAGGCGGAGACCTGGCCCTTGCGCACTGCTGGCCTGTCAATATGGCCGACATATCCCGGACGCTGTTATTCCGAACGGTCAGTTTCACTCATGCTATGTAATGGAATGCCCTGCAGATAAAAGCTAAACAACATATGCTAATGTCCACTATAGAAAGTAATTGAGCCGTGGATGGCAGCAGCTTCCGCAGGCAGATTGTATATCACTCTGCATACACAACTGTGAGCATCAATTTCCACTGTCATAGTTTTAATTCAAATGGTATATTTGTCACTTCAATGTCATGCGTGTCAATATCGCCCAGGTTTGGTGACATGGCAACTATGTATGGATTTAAGTGCATTCACCCTAAAATAATCAGATTCGTCAAAAAGGTCACGTACACTTTGTTGAGATCTGTATATAGATTCTGTTATCTGGTACAGCGCCCGGGGCAAGTGTGGACACATGCTCCTATACACGATATAGCGCCCGGCACTTGTCACTATAGCGCCCGGCACTTGTCTTGACACATGCTCCTATACACGATATAACGCCCGGCACTTGTCTTGACACATGCTCCTATACACGATATAGCGCCCGGCACTAGTCTTGACACATACTTCTATACACGATATAGCGCCCGGCACTTGTCTTGACACATGCTTCTATACACGATATAGCGCCCGGCACTTGTCTTGACACATGCTCCTATACACGATATAGCGCCCGGCACTTGTCTTGACACATGCTTCTATACACGATATAGTGCCCGGCACTTGTCTTGACACATGCTTCTATACACGATATAGTGCCCGGCACAAGTGTGAGCACATGCTCCTATACACGATATAGCGCCCGGCACTTGTCTTGACACATGCTTCTATACACGATATAGTGCCCGGCACAAGTGTGGACACATGCTTCTATACACGACATAGCGCCCGGCACAAGTGTGAGCACATGCTCATATACACGATATAGCGCCCGGCACTAGTCTTGACACATGCTTCATACACAATATAGCGCCCGGCACTTGTCTTGACACATGCTTCATACACGATATAGCGCCCCACACTAGCCTAGACACATGCTTCTATACATGATATAGCACCCCACACCAGCCTAGACACATGCTTCTATACACGATATAGCGCCCCACACTTGTCTTGACACATCCTTCTATACACGATATAGCGCCCCACACTAGCCTAGACACATGCTTCAAACACGATATAGCGCCCCACACTTGTCTTGACACATGCTTCAAACACGATATAGCGCCCCACACTTGTCTTGACACATGCTTCTATACACGATATAGCGCCCCACACTTGTCTTGACACATCCTTCTATACACGATAAAGCGCCCCACACTAGCCTAGACACATGCTTCAAACACGATATAGCGCCCCACACTTGTCTTGACACATGCTTCAAACACGATATAGCGCCCGGCACTAGTCTTGACACATACTTCTATACATGATATAGCACCCCACACCAGCCTAGACACATGCTTCTATACACGATATAGCGCCCCACACTAGTCTTGACACATGCTTCTATACACGATATAGCGCCCCACACTAGCTTAGACACATGCTTCTATACACGATATAGCGCCCCACACTAGCCTAGACACATGCTTCTATATACGATATAGCGCCCCACACTAGTATAAGCATGCAAGTTTTTATGTAGTTTTTTAGGAAACTTGTCCCCTAAGAGGACATTATGCACTCAGTAGTCTTGACACATGCTTCACACACGATATAGCGCCCCACACTAGCCTGGACACATGCTTCAATACACGATATAGCGCCCCACACTAGTCTAGACACATACTTCTATACACGATATAGCGCCCCACACTAGTCTAGACACATGCTTCAATACACGATATAGCGCCCCACACTAGTCTGGACACATGCTTCAATACACGATATAGCGCCCCACACTAGTCTAGACACATGCTTCAATACACGATATAGCGCCCCACACTAGTCTGGACACATGCTTCAATACACGATATAGCGCCCCACACTAGTCTTGACACATGCTTCAATACACGATATAGCGCCCTACACTAGCCTAGATACATACTTCAATACACGATATAGCGCCCCACACTAGTCTGGACACATGCTTCAAACACGATATAGCGCCCCACACTAGTCTAGACACATGCTTCTATACACGATATAGCGCCCCACACTAGCCTAGACACATGCTTCAATACACGATATAGCGCCCCACACTAGTCTTGACACATGCTTCAATACACGATATAGCGCCCCACACTAGTCTAGACACATGCTTCAATACACGATATAGCGCCCCACACTAGTCTGGACACATGCTTCAAACACGATATAGCGCCCCACACTAGTCTAGACACATGCTTCAATACACGATATAGCGCCCCACACTAGTCTTGACACATACTTCAATACACGATATAGCGCCCCACACTAGTCTAGACACATGCTTCAATACACGATATAGCGCCCCACACTAGTCTGGACACATGCTTCAAACACGATATTGCACCCCCACACTAGCCTAGATACATACTTCTATACACGATATAGCGCCCAACACTAGTATAAGCATGCAAGTTTTTATGTAGTTTCTTAGGAAACGTGTCCCCTAAGAGGACATTATGCACTCAGTAAAATAACATGGATCAAGCGTAAAAACATATTTTACGGCCCCAATTTTCGAACTGTTTTGACAAATATCTAAAAGATTAGCTTGGAAACTTTCATTCATGTAGCTTCAGTAGTTTATTGGAAAACTTGTCCCCATTTCACGCAGTGTACACTACGTTGAAAAATGCTATGCTTGTTGCAATGGCGGCTTACGAGATCTGGTGGTCAGACGTTGTTGCTCCTTGTCGTCGTATCCCAATTGCCCAGATCCATGCTCATGATGTCAGTCACTGGATCGTCTGGTCCCGACTCAGTCATTTACAGACCGCCGCCATACAGATGGAATTAGACGGCGTAGAACAAAACAACAACAACAACAACAACAACAACAACAATAAAAATAACAAAACAAAAACAAACAAACAAACAGAGTTGAAAAGCATGGAACAAGGGCCTTAATTCAAATCATTTGAGATCGTGACCAGTAACATCAGTGTGCAAAATGTCTCCAACTTAAATAGTTTAGAGAAAAAGTGTCCGCATTGAGAATCGTTCGGTCGGACGGACGGACTGACTCCGTTCCTATATGGGGATCATAATGTAGACTAGATATCAAATAATAATTGTTTATGTGACACTGACCATCGCTAACTAACTAACTAACTAACTAACTAACTAACTAACTAACTAACTAACTAACTAACTAACTAACTAACTAACTAACTAACTAACTAACTAACTAACTCACTCACTCACTCACTCACTCACTCACTCACTCACTAACTGCGATGGTGCTAAGGTGAGAATCGATATGAAGAGACAAGGTGAGTTTCTCCGTACACAAGAACTACCGGGTACCCCTAGCCTGGCAGTAGGTGTTGTCAATCCATTAATTCTCAAACGTGATGCTTCTATGTAATTCTGATATCGTCCGGATTAGGAGATGTCCGGATTAAGAGATGTCCGGATCAGCGATTACTCGAGACTTATACCCCTTCGTGTTCAAATGAGGTTAGGTGAAATGGGGTTAACCCATACAGCGATATGTGTGTGGCTGTTTGTATTAGGGAGGTCGGGTAGCCTAGTGGTTAAAGCGTTCTCTCGTCACGCTGAAGACCCGGGTTCGATTCCCGACATGGGTACAATGTGTGAAGCCCATTTCTGGTGTCCCCCGCCGTGCTATTGCTGGAATATTGCTAAAAGCTGCGTAAAAACATACTCACACACTCTCTCACACTGTTTGTATTAGTCCGGGCATTTGCTAAGCAGTTTAACATAGATACCCCATTCTAACAACATGTACCCCGAACCTTGTTTTAGCCCCTTAATGCCAAGCGTCAGGCAGGGTAACAAGTACCATCTTTTAACGTGTTTTTGGTATGACGCGGCCAGAGGGATATTCACAAAACACAATAAAGTACATCACAGTATATCCATGTGAGATTTCAATGAAAAATAATTTCACGTCAACTAGTTTATTCATACAGCTTACAATACGGTTACTAATATCAAATTACACGTAAATTAATGCCAATGTCATTTCACATAACACTGGTCAAGACAATTATCAATATATCATAATTATCAATATATTACCATTATCCTAGGCAAGCATACAATTCATTGTTTATTATGCAGCATATTTCTGACAGGGTTGCTGATATTCAGATCGATAACGCGGGAGGTATCCATGCGTGACAAGTACACAGGATGAACCAACAACCTAGTGAACGCAGCTGATGCCTGCCTCACAGCGACACAAACAGAATATCAGCTGTTTGAATGATGGAGACTATGTGGGATGCACATAGATAACTCCTGGGTTAGCTTCATCACTATCGTGACGGCATCACGACCACCTAAGATGTGTACATGATATATGTCAGTCGCTGCAATTATACTGTTTTACATCCTTGATTAATGCGACTGACAAACGCCACATATGATGAAAATTGTAGTTTTAATGAAACACGTCGAACATATTACAACTATGCTAACATTGCGTGTTATGTTAGTGGAATATATATTGTGGTACTGTGTTCAAAAGTGTGAAAAAATATGTTGGGTCAATTTATCGACGTGGCGTTCACCTTCCGGTGATCGTGCTTCTAAATGGTTCTCACCATGCATCGTGCAAGTCCATCCGCAGGTGGCAACAGAGCACCTGTCACTTGACACGTGCTGCATGCGCCAGCTGATGCGCTATCCGGTCACCACTGATATTACAAACAGAGTCCCTTTAAACTGATTACCCAGGGTGCCATGCGTGGTCCCTTTTGCAGTGGATAGCGGGAGTTTGCTGGTGACAGACAGAAGCACTAAATGTTTAAATAGTTCGCGCAACATCCTCGTATCTGCGGATAGACTTACCATGAACCGCGGCGGATTCGGGCGGACGTCATTGTGAGGCGTTTTGAGATTATCTCTCCCCCACTCCATGGCTATGGAGTAAAGCATTGATTTGCCTTCTAGTAGGAAGAACGGCGGTCGCTGATCGGGGAGTTCTCGCTAGTGTTGCTCCGTTGTCAGCGCTAGATGGAGCCACTGCCGCAGCCAGTCAGACGGAGGGACGGCGGGTAATAGATTGCCGTTCCCGTTGTGTGAGCCACCGATACCACTGGACATCTTAAATTAACTCCAACACACACCGGATCAGCCCTAAAACCAGAGATGCCATCGTACTACCGCGAGATGCGCGGAATGACAAAAAAGATCGGAATAGTCACACATCGCAATTAGAGCCAATGGAAAAACTAGCTTAACGTGTGGATTTGTTCACAAGATCAGCGGTGAACGTGCGGGGGAGCGATTTTATTGGCTGCTCGATAGGGGTAAATGGAAGAGCGTGTGATGGAGGTTTTACCTCTGTGTGGCTACTGTAGCTAAGTGTCCCGATTATGCATTCAATGGTGTACAGGAGAGTCATTGAGAGTCGGTGGGGAACCGTTGGTCTGACGGCCGCCACGGTGATGACGTAGAAGCCCCGGAGGAGTAGAGGGACAAGCCGTTCCTCCAGGGAAACAACCTCTACCAAGGGAGCGTGTCACAACATCTCAGCACACTCTAGGATGGAATGATATGGCCTAGATTTCCTGAAGGATATTGCCTCCGCTCTTTCTGGAAATGGGAACGCTGAAGGCTGTCTTGTTAGTCTTGACATTTCTGAAGCAGCGATACCGCTGTCCGCGCGATAGTGCGGAGAGATCTCTGCAATCTGCCACTATCAGCTTCATGTATATGAAATGGCAACTGGACGCGAGCAGTTACAATGGATAGATTTACCTTCGGATTATCAGCTTAATACCCCGTGTTTTGTGTACTGTGAGCTATCGTGATGTGATTGTCATAGCTCCATATCGCTGAATATGTATGCCCTTCTGAGGCAGCAGCCCTTCTCATGAATAGACGGTGTAGTTGTACAATGAAGTAGTTGCATGTCGTCCACCCGGTTGTAGACATCCAGGGGGCACGCCGTGGGGTGTAAGAGGAACGTGCAATCAAGACAAGCTATGCTGACGTGTTTCCATCGGTTTGGAGGACAATGCATTGGATCATAGTCTGCAGTATCTGGTCGGTCACCTCAGCGTTCAGTGGGCCACAGCAACCAGTTATCAACATAGGTGCCGTCTTCGATACGGTTGAATACGACAACTTCAAGAAGGTGTTTTATGCAGCCGTCGACGACTTCAATAACTCCAGTCAAAAGATCCACATATTCGGAGACGCTGTGACCGCCCAGATGGGTCTCCGTGACACCATTAGCCTGACCTGCAGTATGCTGGAACAGAAAAGCATTCATTTGTTCTTGGTGTTTGGCAATGCGAGTACAATACACTCCATTAATAACATCGCACAGTACTTGGGGATACCCGTCATGGGATACATGACGGATATGAGGGAAAAGCACGTCAAGGTAAGACCAATGACTACCTTCATATTTCACAGGGTCCTGGGTTCGAATCTAGATTAATGACATCTTTCAACACCTTGATCTTACATGCTTGAAATAATTGAAATACCGTTCAAACGGATGGCACATCTTAAACTGTTCACGCTAGGCTGATGTTGGACTGATGTTTGACAGACCGTTTGACTAATGTTTGACCTATGTTGAACAGATGTTGAACTGATGCTGGACAGCCTGTTAAAGTGATGATGTTTTTCTGATGTTTGTCTGATGTTGGCCTGGTGTTTGCCTGATGTTTGTCTGATTTTGGCCCGATGTTTGTCTGATGTTGGCTTAATGCTGACCTGATGTTTGTCTGATGTTGGCCTAATGCTGGCCTGATGTTTGTCTGATTTTGGCCTAATGCTGGCCTGATGCTGGTCTGATGTTTGCCTAATGCTGGCCAGATGTTTGTCTGATGTTGGCCTAATGATGGCCTGATGTTTGTCTGATGTTTGCCTAATGCTGGGCTGATGTTTGTCTGAAGTTAGCCTAATGATGGCCTGATGTTTGTCTGAAGTTTGCCTAATGATGGCCTGATGTTTGTCTGAAGTTGGCCTAATGCTGGGCTGATGTTTGTCTGAAGTTTGCCTAATGATGGCCTGATGTTTGTCTGAAGTTTGCCTAATGCTGGGCTGATGTTTGTCTGATGTTGGCCTAATGCTGGCCCGATGCTTGTCTGATGTTGGCCTCATGATGGCCTGATGTTTGTCTGATGTTGGCCTAATGATGGCCTAATGTTTGTCTGATGTTGGCCTAATGCTGGCCTGATGTTTGTCTGAAGTTGGCCTAATGATGGCCTGATGTTTGTCTGATGTTTGTATGGCGGTTGACGATCTGTGGTCACAGTCATTATGACTTGAATTGTTATGACCCAGTTTCACGAACCTGACACAACATCTCAACTTGCTTGTGTATTAAACATCCTAATTGCAGCCAGGATGATACCAGGCTCTCCTAACATATGTAATTCATTTATATATAACGTAATTAAGCGCGCATGCACGAAAGACAAGAATGGGTGTCCGCTACATTAAATAAAACAATGACATTTATCTGATGATAATTAGATTGCACTTCAGCAATGGCTATCACAGACTCTGTCTGATCAAGGCCACGGTCAAGGTCAAGCCTGTTTCCATTTTATACTATGTAAACAACAGTCAGCTTCACGTCACAGGTGATGCCCAAGTACTGTACAAAACCACGGTACTGCATCAATTAAACCCATTACACCAAGCTGACTGCAAAATACCGATTGACATCATTGCATTTCCTCTACCATGCTGCATAAAGACACACTAATAATATTTACCTTAACATGTGTGGAAACAAATTAATCAAAGATGCTTATATTGTTTGCAATGGATGATTTTACACTAAGTAACATATGCTCTGAGCCATAAACAATATATGAACACTCTGGAACATATAAACCCATGCATAATAAACCAACACTCCGTAACATAAACCCTAAACCATGCAAAGAAACCCCCACACACTGCAACATATACCATATACCAGGCACAACGAAACCATAAACTGGAACATAAATACAAACATGCTGGTACACAAACCCTGAACCGTGCATCTTATTACAACACACTGGAACACATGAAGTCTATACCATGCGTAATACAACACTCCGTAACATTAACCCTAAACCATGCACAGCACTCTGGAACATATGAAGTCTATACCATGCATAATACAACACCCTGTAATATAAACCCTAAACCATGCACAACACTTTGGAACATATGAAGTCTCTACCATGCATAATACAACACTCTGTAACATAAACCCTAAACCATGCACAACACTTTGGAACATATGAAGTCTGTACCATGCATAATACAACACCCTGTAATATAAACCCTAAACCATGCACAACACTTTGGAACATATGAAGTCTCTACCATGCATAATACAACACTCTGTAACAAAAACCCTAAACCATGCACAACACTTTGGAACATATGAAGTCTATACCATGCATAATACAACACTCTGTAACATAAACCCTAAACCATGCACAACACTTTGGAACATATGAAGTCTGTACCATGCATAATACAACACCCTATAATATAAACCCTAAACCATGCACAACACTTTGAAACATATGAAGTCTATACCATGCATAATACAACACCCTGTAACATAAACTCTAAACCATGCACAACACTTTGGAACATATGAAGTCTCTACCATGCGTAATACAACACTCTGTAATATAAACCCTAAACCATGCACACCACTTTGGAACATATGAAGTCTATACCATGCATAATACAACACCCTGTAACATAAACCCTAAACCATGCACAACACTTTGGAACATATGAAGTCTCTACCATGCATAATACAACACTCTGTAATATAAACCCTAAACCATGCACAACACTTTGGAACATATGAAGTCTCTACCATGCATAATACAACACTCTGTACTATAAACCCTAAACCATGCACAACACTTTGGAACATATGAAGTCTCTACCATGCATAATACAACACTCTGGTATATAAACCCTAAACCATGCACAACACTTTGGAACATATGAAGTCTGTACCATGCATAATACAACACCCTGTAACATAAACCCTAAACCATGCACAACACGCTGGAACGTATGAAGTCTATACCATGCATAATACAACACTCTGTACTATGAACCCTAAACCATGCACAACACTTTGGAACATATGAAGTCTCTACCATGCATAATACAACACTCTGTAATATAAACCCTAAACCATGCACAACACTTTGGAACATATGAAGTCTGTACCATGCATAATACAACACCCTGTAACATAAACCCTAAACCATGCACAACACGCTGGAACGTATGAAGTCTATACCATGCATAATACAACACTCTGTAACATAAACCCTAAACCATGCACAACACTTTGGAACATATGAAGTCTCTACCATGCATAATACAACACTCTGTAATATAAACCCTAAACCATGCACAACACTTTGGAACATATGAAGTCTCTACCATGCATAATACAACACTCTGTAATATAAACCCTAAACCATGCACAACACTTTGGAACATATGAAGTCTCTACCATGCATAATACAACACCCTGTAACATAAACCCTAAACCATGCACAACACGCTGGAACGTATGAAGTCTATACCATGCATAATACAACACTCTGTAACATAAACCCTAAACCATGTAAAAAAAACCCCACACACTGCAAAATACAAACCATGAAAATAAAACCGTACTTGGCAAAATATAATTCAAACATTCTGCTACACAAACCCTGAACGAGGCACATTAATACACCACTCTTGAACATGTAAACCATACATCTTGTATAATTAAACAAAATTCTGGAACGTATAAACCCAACACCATGCCCAGTAAACAACACCCTCGACCATATAAACTGTAAACCATGCATAATAATGAAACACCCTGTAACATATAAACCATGCATAACAAAACCATAATCTGGAACATAAACTATTCATAATAAAACAACACGCTGTAACATATAAACCCTAAACCATACATATCAAAAGAACACACTGTACCATATTAACCATAAAACAACATTTTTGAACGTATAAAACCTTAACCATGCCTAATAAAACAACACTCTGGGACGTATAAACCCTACACCGTGCCTAATAAAACAACACTCTGGGACGTATAAACCCTACACCATGCCTAATAAAACAACACTCTGGGACGTATAAACCCTACATCATGCCTAATAAAACAACAGTCTGGAGCATATGAACTCTAAACCATTCAGAAAAACACAACAAACTGTAACATATAAACCCTCAACGATGCATAATAAAACAACAGTCTGGAACATATAAACCCTTAACCATTATAATTAAACAACACTCTGGAATTATAAACCCAACCCCATACCTAATAAAACAACACTGGAGCATATTAACACACAAACTATTCATAATAAAACATAAACTGGAACACATAAACCCAACCCCATGCCTAATAAAACAACACGGGAGCATATTAACACTAAAACTATTCATAATAAAACATAAACTGGAACACATAAACCCTAAACCATGCATAAAACAATGATAATAAAACACTTAATAACATTTATCATGATGCGGAAACGTACAACACTGTTTTACATTTAACCAAGTATAATAAACAATCCCTTTGTCACATATCCCCAAACTATAGCAACAACAATACAAACGATGCAAACACCACTAAGCAATGTACAACAAAACAGCCACAACAATGCCTCGCATTTAGCCTGGGGTGAATAATTCAAGAACAATTTGAAGCAAACCACCAAACGTCACCGACATTCTGTTAATAGAAATGCAAAATCCAAATATACTAATATGGCTAAATTGAAACCAACCCGGTTATACAGGTCTCTGTAATAGAATGCAAATAAGTCTTTCACCCAAGTGTAAAACAATAGCTCTATGGCAGGACTCTAATAGTGTGTTTGCACATTGCTTCCTTGGGAAAATGATTTTATGAACGAGGATTAGGGCAAGTTGAAGTTCAGTCACACTGAGAATATGAATAGCAAGTGCCGTTGAAATCTTGGGGCATAGAGATGTACGTACGTGGTGGTTTGAGGGGGTTTCTTGTCTTCAGTTCCAAAAGAATATATGCCAGGACTGCTAGCATAACGAACTCAGTGTTGTTGACCTCGATACAACGCTTCCGATGGTGGAATTATACAAAGACGGAACGACAGCATGCAGATGTATTGTCAGTATATAATCGCACATACACTAAACACATGCAGTTTGATGTAGGTGGTTTAGATACCAATGATCAGGGAATTTCACTCTTACATACAAGGTTGGGTCATTTTAAGGAAATAAATAATTTGTGTAGCGATCAACGCATGAAGCAGTTTCTGAAGAGTGTTTCTAAAACATGAAGCATATTGTTTCTGAGGTGTATTTCTGGCACATGAAGCA